TCTTTGTCTAGAGGCCTTGAAAAATACAAGAAAATGGGAAAAATATCAATCAACACTATAAAGATTTAGTCAATTGACTCACAAATAATAAGTTAAAGAAAAAATGAGGAACAAATAGGCTAGATATCAAGGGCATGGACTGAGTGGGATGGAGATCACCAATCCCTTGCACTGGTCACAAGAATAATAAACTAAGACAATATGGAGATTAGAAGAGCGGAAATTAGAAAACAAGGAGGAATTGCGAACATATGAGCATTAACTCCTTAATCAATGATTTAGGACGGTGAAGTTGATTGGGTTGCCACATGTGCAGAATTACTCGTGTTCACCAAACCAAGCAGTTGAAGTAGGCAATTGGGGAGAAACTGATGATAACTGTTGAAAGAGTTGATGAGCTAAGTAGTAAGGACAACATGAGAGCCATATATAGATCTAGTAGATAAGTGAGACGTAGGTGGAGCCAAATCATTAGGGGCCTGATTAGCATACGTTGGTCTCCCTTGCATATCCCAACAATAATCACCAGTATGTCTAGTAGCCCCACAATAAGAACATTTCCTCTCAGCGCGATTACTATGACCATTGTGTCCTTCACGACCAATACCTTTACTACCCCGACTATCACCTTGGGTTGGATGATGACCATCCCTTGGAACACTACGACCACCATCACTAGAGATTAAGGCAGAGGAATCCTATGAAGATGAAGTAGGCCCATAGTAAGAGAAGCTCATTAGAGGCGAGAATAAGCATTGACAGCAGTCAGAAGGGTCTCACTAGACAAATCTGATCTTTAAATACACCATACTCAGAATTAAGGCTCGACAATAACAGCAAAACCTAAAACTCCTCATGTAATTGCCGTTGAATCTCCAGGTTTGCACTCAGTGGCCGGTACAAAATAACTTCTTCCCATAATCCTTTCAAGGTGCCATAATGTTCAGTTAGGGATTTAGTGTTTTGCTTAGTATTAAATATACCCTCAAATAGTTCATAAATCCGAGAAACATTATGTTTTTGTGAGTACATCTCCTTAAGAGTCCCATAACTTCTTGATTGTATCAAGAAGTTGAATATTAGAGGCCACTGATGGTTCAGTACTCAATTACAACCAAGTCATTGCCAAAGAATTTTCACTTTACTAGTCTTCAGACTTTTTGGACTCATCAAGGGGAGAGCTTTCAATCAAGTAATTAACTTTTCAATTAGCACATAAAAAAACTTTAATAACTCGGGACCAAGAGTAATAATTAGTTCCATTTAACTTATTGAACTAATTTGTCTAATCTAATCATCCACAAAATAGACCTATTGAATCGGAGCATCCATTGTTGTATCTTTTACATCATCAAAAGTTGTCATAGGAGAACTAAAAACCAACCAAGCAATAACAAACAATAAATGATTCAACCATAAACAAGATGAAACCAAAGATAAAAAGCACACCAAATAAAGCTCATAGGGGGAGCCAAAGGAGATCAGAACACATCAAGGTAGATCAGAATGCAACAAAAAAAATATATGGAGAACACCCTATCTATCGCTCAAAACCTCGCCAATACAATTCTTGTTGGCAAAAAAAACCGCAAAACACACAAGAAACACGTGTGTTCAATTAGTGAAGTCCAATGGTCTAAAACACAGCCTAGACACGCCAAATTGATATGGGTATGTTCCAGATTGTCACTATAGGTTAGTCGTGCCCTTCTGTGGGAGAAGGAAGCAGTCACCGGAAGTCCTAGAATAGTTGGATCGAAGAAATTGGGTTTGATTTTTTTTAAAACATTTGAAAATAGAAAAGGGTATTCAGATAATTTTACAAAATTCNGAAGTCCTAGAATAGTTGGATCGAAGAAATTGGGTTCAATTTTTTTTAAAACATTTGAAAATAGAAAAGGGTATTCAGATAATTTTACAAAATTCAATAAAAATCACCATAAATACCAGCTTGATGAGTCGAACCTACTAGTGGGTAACGTTCCATGAAAGTGCATATGTCAGCATGACGTCACGGTCGCATGTGCTAACTTCTGAGATGAACTGTGCAGATTTTTGTTTTTCAAACTCCCTATATTCTTTTGTGTTATTGTTGAAATTTTTTTTTGACCGGATGATTGCTATGGTACTAAGTTAAAATAGTATAGGTGATATTAGGATTAGAGATAAGAGAGAAGAAGAGAAATCAGAAAGAGAGAATAATGATAATTTGCCCTACACTTTCTTATTTATAGTAAACTGACATTATTGGAATGACAATATTGCCCTACACTATTAATAATATAAATAAGAACTCTAACAGCATCATTCCTATCGTTTACACCAAGGATCGAACATTTAAGTTTAGCGCATTGCTTTGGTCACCACGAAAATGGAAATATTTAGCAAACATCTCGAAAACGTATAGAAATTTTAGAAATTTATTTCTAAAAACATTTAAAAACATTGGTCAAAATATATCGAAACATCATTAAACATTGCAATATATTTTAAAACATAGGTGAAAACACGCCGAAATATCTCGAAACACCTTAAAATATTTCAAAATAACTAGAAACACAAATCATTGAAATTTTGATTCAATCACTGAATTGTTTTGGTCCCCTTCAGTTTTCAAATGTTTCAGCTTAAGAAGGGTGGACATGGACACAAGACATGGATACGAAACGACACGGATATGCCGACACGACATTTTTAAAAAAAGTAGGACACAGATACGTTGGGGACATGCTAAGANCGATTTAATCACTGAATTGTTTTGGTCCCCTTCAGTTTTCAAATGTTTCAGCTTAAGAAGGGTGGACACGGATACGAAACGACACGGATACGCCGACACGACATTTTTAAAAAAAGTAGGACACAGATACGTTGGGGACATGCTAAGAAGGGTGGACATGGACACAAGACATGGATACGAAACGACACGGATACGCTGACACGACATTTTTAAAAAAAGTAGGACACAGATGCGTTGGGGACATGCTACAAAAAATTATATTTTATATATTATATATTTTTTAGTATCCGTATGAATTTTTAGACTAAAGTATCATCATAATATTGAATAATCATCAATTTTTTTTGGCAGACAATGTGTACCTAATAAATAATTTAAATAANGTGAATAATCATCAATTTTTTTTTGCAGACAATGTGTACCTAATAAAAAATTTAAATAATTGCTCTCATTTTTTCAAATTTTTTTTTTAAAACTTTTATGCATCTTTTGTTTTTATTATTATATTTGAAGTACNTTGAATAATCATCAATTTTTTTTGGCAGACAATGTGTACCTAATAAATAATTTAAATAATTGCTCTCATTTTTTCAATTTTTTTTTTAAAACTTTTATGCATCTTTTGTTTTTATTATTATATTTGAAGTACAACTTTAACATGTCTATTGTTTGTAATTATATGTTCTCAAATTTTTAAGGTTTGTTACTCATATTTCAACACATATTTAGTGTTTAGTAGTTGACATATTCTAAAGAAGTGTCGGACACGTCACCAAAGAAGTGTCGGACACATGTTTGAAATTAAAATTTTATAATTTAATTATAGACGCAGATAAAAGAGTATCGGACACATGTCCGAGAGTGTCCGAAGAGTGTCGGTGTCCGACACGTTTCAGACACGGAAAGTTCACCTTCTCAAGAGTGTCTGTGCTTCATAGGTTTTAGGTATTTCAACCGTTTCGAAATAAAATTTTAATCTTTTGTTAACATGGTTGGTTTCTTTAGTTAATTCATCTACCCTTATCGTATTGTCATAGCGTGTTTTGGTAGTCTATTTTGCATCCTAATATTCCAAAAACCATTTGGTGGGCATCTTGGTTATTTTCCAGGTTAATTATGTTTCCGCTCATGACAATGAGACCCTGTTTGACATTATTAGTCTAAAGGTACAGTCTGCTCTGCTCTTACAATATCTTTAAGTTTTCTGTCACATAGATGTCACCGCCCAGTCTAATTCAGCCCCCTCACTTGTATAGACTGCAATGGAACTTTCTGTAGCTGAGAGGTGCAGGCTAAACCATTTGGCAACCAGTATAATAGCACTTTCCCAGGTTGTCCTTAATATTTTGATTTCTTCTGTCTTCTTGCATGCAATGATGCCTATTATGAAATCTGTTAAGTTATTGTGGCTGCATAATTCTTGGGAGCAAGTCTTAGTACATTGCAGTGGCCCAATTTTTTATTTGTATCCCAGGACCCATCTTTTCATGATACGCATTTTTGCAAGCACATCAAGAATATCTCATTATCTCATATGTGGATATAATTCTACAATGTTGTGAAGCTGACAACAGGCTGGATTAAATGGCTTGAGGTTCGCTTGGGTTCATGCTACCAAGGATCAAATTTTCATTTCTATACATATTTTTGGTTAGTTCCGAAACATTAACGTTTCGGAAATATTTTCAAAATAGAGAAGAATTTGAAATTTAATTCGAAACATCGAGCAATATTCCAAAACATGGGAAACTCAGTTTTCTATCAGTAATTTGTTTGGTTCACTGAAACCGAACTATTTTTGTCATTTTCAGTGGAAATGAAATGAAATTTTGATCCTTTCATGCAATGCAAGGATCAAATTTTTGTTTCTGTGTATTATTTCAGTCACCTATGAAACGAAAACGTTTCGACAAGTTTTGAAAACATTTTAATCCATTTAAAAAACATAACAAAAAAAATAAAAAATTTAAGGACTATTTTTCCAAAACATTGATCGAAATATATCAAAATATCTTGAAATACCTTGAAGTANATTTTAATCCATTTCAAAAACATAACAAAAAAAATAAAAAATTTAAGGATTATTTTTCCAAAACATTGATCGAAATATATCAAAATATCTTGAAATACCTTGAAGTATTACGAAGCAACTGTACAAATGCATTGAAATATTACAAAACATCTCAAAACATTATAGAATACCTCAAAATATTCGAATTTCGATTCCATCGTTAATTCGTTTCGGTCGCCATAGAAACGGAAACATTTCGACCGTTTTGAAACGAAATTTTGATCCTTGCTTGCATGCTACCTCGTCAAAGATCTCTTTTTAATAATCAACTTAGAAAATTGTTTAGTATATCTTCGTGAATTGATCCATAACCTATGGTCTCCCAAATTCTTCTTAATTGAATGTCATCACAAATATGATGCATTTTTCATATTGTAGCATTCAACCAAACTTAATCCTTTTTATGCCTTCCCCCAACTAAGTTATTGGTTACATTGTTAACTAATATAAACAGGCACTCTTTTAAAGTTCACCTCAAATTATTCAAGAATTCCTCATTGATACCTAGTTCGGGAGAAAAATCTTGGGATGACTACTTACCATTTCCTAGTTTTTGTTGAAGTTGTATAATGTCTAGGGCTTTGCACATTTCACCAAAGCCATACAGCAATGTCTGTAACATTTGATGATGCTTTTAGCAGTAGTGTGTTACCTGTGATATTTTCCTTCATCCATTTGCACAAAATGATACCCATTTGTAGGGAGTACCATTTTTCCACTGTGGTGATGANTGGTCAGCCATACAGCAATGTCTGTAACAGTTGATGATGCTTTTAGCAGTAGTGTGTTACCTGTGATATTTTCCTTCATCAATTTGCACAAAATGATACCCATTTGTAGGGAGTACCATTTTTCCACTGTGGTGATGAGATGCTACGCTCAAAATCACTAGACCGTGATTCATACAATTCGGGTGATTGGTTCAACAGGTTCGGTATTATCACTATATCTCTTATTCCTTTATATGCATTTACCGTCACATCATTTGGTCTAATAATTTCTCTATGAACTGATGATTCTGTCTATCCAGCGTACTGGTACCAGAGAGTTATAGATTGAGATCAATTGATGACTATCAACTGACATTTGTGTTCTACTGTTGTATAAAAAGAATGATTTTTGGCTCCAGTTGTAGCATGTTCAACAATTTAAGTTTTTCAAATCTTTATCTTCAGGTTAGACTTTAGCTACAGTTCTAACAATTGGGGTGTTGGCCTTCCTCCAAAAGAGAAAAATGAAAAAAACTGGCCACTGTAAGTATTCAGTTATTTTCGGTTTTGTCATTATACTGTATCTGTTTTGATTAGGTTACATCTAAGATAAATTTCTATGGGAGTTTGATATTGTGATGCATACATCTCTTTCTGGTGATTCTTTCATTGGCCTTTTATCTTTGGAACATCAAGTCTGATATATCTATAAATAATCTCCAAGCTTACTTTGTACTTTCAGAATTAAACCCAGATTGGCAGATTTGTCCTTCAAACCTGAGAGTAGCCACATCCTTGCTGCCGTAGAAAATTTTTCAAACTTGTTGCGAATTAGATATTCTTCACCTCTCTTCCGTCTGAGGAAAGCAAATTCTATCCAGGTCAGAACACCTGTCCTTACACGCATATCTTAATTTGAATCAGTTTGAATATAATAAGAACTAGCAAAGGTGTTAAACCACGACCTACTCTAAAAGCTCACAAAGTGATGTAGAGGGTGTAAGTATTCATATACTTCAACATGCACCTCACTGGTGGGCAAGATTTTTGTTCAAACACGTGCTACTCCTCTGATTATAAGGGTGATGGTGAGGTAAAAATGCAGGACCTCCTGCTCCAATACTGTGTTAAATTACCAATTCATGCTAAAGATTAGGCTATTAGAGAGGGCAGCTAATAATTGAAAAAATTCCGCGTGCTTGGTTCAAAATTAATATATAAGCATTGAGTTACACCCTCCTACAGTTTAAGCTTTTAAAGTAGATAGTGCTTAATAATAAGACTTGAGTTATGTGCTTTGTTTGCGGATGCTATAAAAGTTTGTTTCATGTATTATTGTGTTGGCTTTCACCACCCATAACTATAGACAGAAAATTTGAGCTTGTTCCAGTGGACCAAGCTTTGATTACCTTCATTTGACCTGAATGGTTTGCGCCTGGCAACCCTGGCCCATGTTTTTGACCAATTTGAATCCTCATGGTAAACTTTTTTGTTATAGTGCACTGAAATTCCATCTTTTCCGAAAACGAGACAGGCATCATTGACATTATAGAAATTACATTTTAGCTTCCATAAGATTTTGGTTTGGGCTACAAATTCCCCTCTTTTCGGACAAAGTGTGTTAAAGGTGCTGATGGGCAACATTGACATCATGCTATTATTTTTGATATGTATTTATGTTTTTGTTGTTTAGTTTTGGCAATATGGATTATACGTTTTTTCTTTTAGTGTGTATAGTCCTGTTAAAATACAAACAATATTATTATGTTAATAATGAAAATTCAATATTAATTACACTTGACAAAACATTTGAATAGATGCAAAAACCATATTTTTGGCCATAATTTTGTGGTTACTAAAACATAAAGTATGCAAGGAATGTTTTTTGCTCCATTCAAACATATTTTTTTGTGGAAATTCAATTTCCTAATATTCAGTGAACAAAGCATTTGTAAAATTCCACCGGTGGGAATTAACGCATTAGTTTCCTCGAATGAGGAAAGATCTGTGAACATTGTATATCATGAGGCATGAGTAGTGATGTACTATTATTATTATTATTAGATTGGAATATCAAATGGTTCTTAGTAATTTATGTTTCAGAAGGCTAATGGAGTTTCTTCAAAAGTAAGAAACAATTGTTTCTATTTCTAATACCAAGAAAATTTTATGAGTTGAATTTGGACAATTAATAGCCTTGTGAGCATATTTTTCTGAAAATCGGATAGTTGTACGTGACCCTTGTTGTCTTCTAAACTTTTTAAAACAATCCAAACATTTATCCAACTTTACTCTTTTTCCATTCCCACATTCTTTTATAATTACATAAACTTTTATTATTAGTTTGTTGAATCCCCTTGAAATGATGTCAAAAGTTCATTTTGAAGCTCTGTGGTCTTTCTCTCTCTCTCTCTCAAATGTGGTAAGCAAAGTTAAATGCTATTGCAATCACTTAATATGAATCAATTAATACACAATGGTGCATGATTTGAAGTTAGTCATTCCACAGTCTCTCTCTCTCTCTTCTCCAACCTTTGTGATATTGAAGTGATTAAAAATAACCGAATCATAAACAAGAAGAATGTAAATGAAAAAAGTGGATAAAAGAAAAACCAGAAGAAAAATAGCCACCAAATCTCCTTGTGTGCATTTGTTTCTTGGCTTGAAAATCTTAATATGTAATGCCTCCATTACAATCACTTTATGCCACCATACCCATAATGCACAACAATTCACAACATCCTTGGCGCAATCTAGGTGGATTTAAATTCAGTCTTTTCTTTGGGCCATCTATTTAAGTCTTTACTTAGTAGTCTCTGCTAAATATATGTCAGTCTGATATGACATTTGACTACATGATCTTGAAACTAGGTAGTAACTAAGAGGTCAACGGCCACCTTTTGATTTAATATGGTGGGAAACATGCAGTGTTTATAGCTTTAGTCTAGAACAAGAGCTGTTAGAGTTCTTACTTTTCTATATTAGACAGATTAATTAGTGTAGGGTAATATTGTAATTATCCATATAAATAAGAGTGTAGGGAAACCTAGTTTACACAATTGATTATTTTTTCTCTTCTCTTTCACCTTACTTCTAACCCTAATATTGGCTTTTATTATTTCAACTAGTTCTTAATAGTTGCTGATGTCACTTGTCAGTGGCTAACATTATGCTGACTTCATCAATTTTCGATGGCCAGCACCAATCTCAGGCCTCGATTTTTTATGAAGATTATTATGGTGATTATTGTGTATTTTTTTGGAGCCAATTGAGTAGAGTTTCTTATTTTTGAATGTTTTTCAGAAAAATAAGGATCAAATTCCAGATCTATTTTTTTGGGATTTCTTGGTTGGATTTTTGCTTGGATCTGCTACTATAGGTGCCGATTGGACTAAGCTAGAGTGTTTTTGAGTTACCCAGCCCTGTTTGGTTTATTTTTTGGTGCTTTTGAGCAGATTTGGTGCTGATAGCACACCCGTGGCCAGTGAAGTGCTTCGAATTCATCAATCTGTTCCAAATCTTGGTCGATTGGGCTCGCCTTGCTATTTCTTGGTCTTGGTTTGTTATATCTCTTCCAAATTTGGTCACTCTGTCTGATTCTAGATCCGTGGGCTGGTTGTATTGTTCCAGCTGATCTGGTACTGCTCCAACAGATTTGGTTCATATCTGTTCATTCGCAACTTGGTTTGTTTCACCTGCTCGTCCAACATTTTTTTGTTTGGTTGTTTCTTAACCTCTGTATTTTTTTTTTTTAGATTTGGTTGGGCTTGAATATCGACATCAGTTTGGGTTGTTTGGGGGCAGATTCCTTGATTTACTTGTGGTTTCCTTTGTGTGATTGTGGTTGTCTGCGTTGGCTGTGGGTTTTACTATGGCAACTTCAAAGGATATCAAGGATATTTCCACTAATGATCAGGTTCAACAGGTTTATTTCGTGGCTGATCAGGTTCGTCAGACCACACCTGTTAAATTAAATGGACATAATTATTATTCCTGGTTCCATGTCATTAAGGTTTTCTTGTTTATTGAACAGAAAGTAAGTATCTGACCGAGAGTCCTCCTCCTAAGACTTATGCGAAATCTGAAGATCGTTGGAGTGAAAATTTCTTGGTGATGACATGGTTATGGCTTAGTATGGTGCTTAGTGTAACTGTTAATGTTCAACTTCTTGATACAACCAAGAAGATATGAGACTCTATTGAGGAGATGTACTCAGAAGAATATAATGTGTCCAGGATCTATGAAATCTTTGAACCTTTGTGTAATACCAAGCTAGGAAATAAGTCTATAGCTAAGCATTATTGTACCTTGAATGGGCTATGGGATGAGCTTCTACTTTATCAACTATTGAGTGCGAACCTAGAGATACAATGATGACACCGTGAAGAGTTTCAGGTTGCTTTATTGTTGTCCAGTCTTAATTCTGAATATGGTGTATTTAAATATTATATTTTGGCTAGTGAGAAACTCCTCATTGCTGCCAATGCTTATTCCTGTCTTCAGAGAGCCTCTTTGACTAGAAGGACTAATTCATCTACACAAGACTCCTCTGTCTAATTTTCTAGCGACAGTTTTTGTGGTGGTCGTGGAGGTGATCATGGTGGTGGTCGCCATTCAGCCTCAGGTGTTAAAGGCACCGGTGGTGGAAGTGGTGGTGGAGGACATGGTGGTGGTAAAGGCACTAGGTCATGGAAATCGTTCCAAGTGGAAGTGTTTTTATTGTGGAGCTACGGGATATACTGAGGATTATTACTAAGATAAACATGGGAGACCAACTTATACTAATCANCTTGATACAACCAAGAAGATATGAGACTCTATTGAGGAGATGTACTCATAAGAATATAATGTGTCCAGGATCTATGAAATCTTTGAACCTTTGTGTAATACCAAGCTAGGAAATAAGTCTATAGCTAAGCATTATTGTACCTTGAATGGGCTATGGGATGAGCTTCTACTTTATCAACTATTGAGTGCGAACCTAGAGATACAATGATGACACCGTGAAGAGTTTCAGGTTGCTTTATTGTTGTCCAGTCTTAATTCTGAATATGGTGTATTTAAATATTATATTTTGGCTAGTGAGAAACTCCTCATTGCTGCCAATGCTTATTCCTGTCTTCAGAGAGCCTCTTTGACTAGAAGGACTAATTCATCTACACAAGACTCCTCTGTCTAATTTTCTAGCGACAGTTTTTGTGGTGGTCGTGGAGGTGATCATGGTGGTGGTCGCCATTCAGCCTCAGGTGTTAAAGGCACTGGTGGTGGACGTGGTGGTGGAGGACATGGTGGTGGTAAAGGCACTAGGTCATGGAAATCGTTCCAAGTGGAAGTGTTTTTATTGTGGAGCTATGGGATATACTGAGGATTATTACTAAGATAAACATGGGAGACCAACTTATACTAATCAGGTTTTTAATGACCCGACCCTTCCTATATCTTAGCCTTCGACTGATGGACATATTACATCTACACCTGGCTTCCATGGTGATTTTATTTCTCAGCTCAGTTAGCTCATCCGACAGTTGTCTTCACTCTCTCTCCCACCCACCTACGTCAACTATTGGTTTAGTTACTGTAGGTAATTTTGCACTTACAGCAGCCTCGGTTACCAAAATTCACTAAAGTCTTGATGATCCACAATCTGGATACATTGATCCCAAACGAGGTGAGTTTGCGATTTAGATCGCCAAAATGTACGATCCCAAATTTGAATACCAACCCTAAATTAATTCGCTTTGGAATATGTAACACAAATATAAAATACATATTAATTAACTTCGAGTATATAGATTTATAGTTATGTATTGTTTTAGGTAATAGAAAATCAAGCATAAACTTAAGATAAATAGTAACTGACTTAGTATTTATGAATATTTTATGATATATAATGGTGTATAGTAGTGAAAATGATCTAAATAAGAGTTTCAGTAGTGAAAATCATCTAGATAAGAGTTCCAAAATAAATAGCGACCCAAAATATCGTACTAGTTAAACCTACTCTAATCGTAATGCGTACTTAAAAAAGTATCGTATCGCTTACTACATACCAAAGTGACCCACGATCCAACTAACATTGAGCCCCATCAATTACATCATTTTGGATTATTGATTTAGGAGCTAGTGCTCACATGTCTGGTATTTTCTCCTGGTTTTCTAACCTTCATTCTTCTAAATCTCATATTGTGTTTGGTGATAGTTCTTTTAGACCTGTACGTGGGACTAGTGATCTCCATCTTCTGAATCTATGTCGTTAACTTCTAGTTTATTGTCCCTCAGTTTTCCTTTAACTTGTTATCTGTGATTTAGTTAATCAAATCTTTATGATATTCAGTGACCTTTTTTCCATTTTCTTGTATTTTTAAGGACCTCCAGACAAAGTAGGTGATTGGTTTGAGACACGAGCAAAATTGATTTTACTATTTGGATGTCAAACCAACAGTACCTGCTTTGGGTGCTATCGTGTCTCCCTTNCCCCTCTCTTCTGATTTGCCTATTGCATTGCAGAAAGGTACTCGTGCTTGTATCCAGTTTTCTATTTCTAATTTTGCCTCGTTGTATTGGCTTTTCTTATCCTTTCGTTGTTTTGCATCAGCTTTGTCTATTGTGTTTGTTTCTAGCTCTTTGAAATAGGCATTAACATCTCTTGGATGAAAATTAGCTATGGATGAGAAAATTAAGGCCCTTCATGAAAATCATGATTTTGATCTCATTTCTTTTCTGGCTGGTAAGTAGCCAGTTAGTTGTGACATAGTATACACTGTGAAATATCATCATGCTGGTTCTGTTGAGCGTTTGAAGGTACGGTTGGTTGCTAAAAGCTACACCCAAACGTATGGAATGACTACGAGACGTTCTCCCTTGTTGCTCGGATTAACTCTATTAGAGTTCTTATTTCAGTTGCAATCAATTATAATTGGCCCTTGTATCAACTGGACATAAAGAATATCTTCTTACACAATGATCTACATGAGGAGGTATATATGACTCAACCTACAGGTTATGATGCTTCAAGTCAAGAACACTTAGTGTGTCGGTTTAAGAAAGCATGTATGGCCTGAAACAATCATCACGTGCTTGATTTGACAAGTTTAGTACTATAGTACTTCAGTTTGATTTTCAGCACTCTCACCTTAGATCATTTAGTGTTCCCTCATCAGTGTTCTATAGGCATTATTATTGTTATTGTTTATGTCGATGATATCATCATCAGTGATAATGACTTAGATGGTATTCCCTACTTAAAGGACTATTTGGGAAAGTAGTTTCATATCAAAGATTTAGGTCATCTTTGGTGCTTCTGAGGATTGAAGTTGCCCAATCAANTCCCTCTCTTCTGATTTGCCTATTGCATTGTAGAAAGGTACTCGTGCTTGTATCCAGTTTTCTATTTCTAATTTTGCCTCGTTGTATTGGTTTTTCTTATCCTTTCGTTGTTTTGCATCATCTTTGTCTATTGTGTTTGTTTCTAGCTCTTTGAAATAGGCATTAACATCTCTTGGATGAAAATTAGCTATGGATGAGAAAATTAAGGCCCTTCATGAAAATCATGATTTTGATCTCATTTCTTTTCTGGCTGGTAAGTAGCCAGTTAGTTGTGACATAGTATACACTGTGAAATATCATCATGCTGGTTCTGTTGAGCGTTTGAAGGTACGGTTGGTTGCTAAAAGCTACACCCAAACGTATGGAATGACTACGAGACGTTCTCCCTTGTTGCTCGGATTAACTCTATTAGAGTTCTTATTTCAGTTGCAATCAATTATAATTGGCCCTTGTATCAACTGGACATAAAGAATATCTTCTTACACAATGATCTACATGAGGAGGTATATATGACTCAACCTACAGGTTATGATGCTTCAAGTCAAGAACACTTAGTGTGTCGGTTTAAGAAAGCATGTATGGCCTGAAACAATCATCACGTGCTTGATTTGACAAGTTTAGTACTATAGTACTTCAGTTTGATTTTCAGCACTCTCACCTTAGATCATTTAGTGTTCCCTCATCAGTGTTCTATAGGCATTATTATTGTTATTGTTTATGTCGATGATATCATCATCAGTGATAATGACTTAGATGGTATTCCCTACTTAAAGGACTATTTGGGAAAGTAGTTTCATATCAAAGATTTAGGTCATCTTTGGTGCTTCTGAGGATTGAAGTTGCCCAATCAAAGGAGGGTATTAGTTTGTGCCAACGAAAGTACATTCTAAACTTTACTATATGAAATTGGAACTCTTGGTGCACGTCCAATGGATACGCCTATGGACCCTACAATTAAGTTAGATCCTAAGAGTGGTGAAGTGCTTAATGATATAGGGCATTATCAGAGGTTGGCTGGTAAGTTGATTTACCATAAAGTTACACGTCTTGATATTACGTATGATATTGGTGTAGTGAGTAAGTTTATACATGCTTCTTGCAAGCCTTATTGGGAGGCTGCCTATCAAGTACAATAGTATCTGAAATGTGCCCTAGGGAAATGATTATTATATTGTTTATCATCATTCATATCTGTTGTTGGTTTTTCTGATGCTGATTGGGGGGATAGTCATAGTGATAGACGATCTACTTTTGGCTATTGTATATTTGTTGGTGGTAATCTTGTCACTTGGCGGAGTAAGAAGCAGAACGTGGTTGTGCATTCTAGTACAGAGACCGAGTATCTTGCTATNAGATCTACATGAGGAGGTATATATGACTCAACCTACAGGTTATGATGCTTCAAGCCAAGAACACTTAGTGTGTCGGTTTAAGAAAGCATGTATGGCCTGAAACAGTCATCACGTGCTTGATTTGACAAGTTTAGTACTATAGTACTTCAGTTTGATTTTCAGCACTCTCACCTTAGATCATTTAGTGTTCCCTCATCAGTGTTCTCAGTGATAATGACTTAGATGGTATTCCCTACTTAAAGGACTATTTGGGAAAGTAGTTTCATATCAAAGATTTAGGTCATCTTTGGTGCTTCTGAGGATTGAAGTTGCCCAATCAAAGGAGGGTATTAGTTTGTGCCAACGAAAGTACATTCTAAACTTTACTATATGAAATTGGAACTCTTGGTGCACGTCCAATGGATACGCCTATGGACCCTACAATTAAGTTAGATCCTAAGAGTGGTGAAGTGCTTAATGATATAGGGCATTATCAGAGGTTGGTTGGTAAGTTGATTTACCATATAGTTACACGTCTTGATATTACATATGATATTGGTGTAGTGAGTAAGTTTATACATGCTTCTTGCAAGCCTTATTGGGAGGCTGCCTATCAAGTACAATAGTATCTGAAATGTGCCCTAGGGAAATGATTATTATATTGTTTATCATCATTCATATCTGTTGTTGGTTTTTCTGATGCTGATTGGGGGGATAGTCATAGTGATAGACGATCTACTTTTGGCTATTGTATATTTGTTGGTGGTAATCTTGTCACTTGGCGGAGTAAGAAGCAGAACGTGGTTGTGCATTCTAGTACAGAGACCGAGTATCTTGCTATGACACATATTGCTTGTGTGATGTTTTGAGTCCAATCTTTATTTCGTGATATGAGACTTAATGTATCTTCCCCTATGAAGATCCATTGTGACAATCAAGCAACAATTTTCATTGCAAGTAATCCTGTTTTCCATGAGCTTACCAAACACATTGAGGTGGATTGTTATTTCAGTCAAGATCTCTTGTTGCGAAATGAGATCATCACTCCTAACATGAAGTCTGGTGACCAACTGAGGAATATCCTTGCAAACTTTTGACTCAATTTGCCTTCAGTAGCTTATGTTCTAAATTGGATATTTTTGACCTTTTATGCTTCAGCTTGAGGGGGAGTTTTAGAGTTCTTATTTTTTTACATTAGACATTGATTAATTAGTGTAGGGTAATATTGTAATTATCTTAACACTTATATATAAGAGAGTGATGGGCAACCTAGCCTACACAACTAATCATTCTTTCTCCTTACATTTAGCCCTAATATTGGCTTTTATTATTTCAAGTTACAAAGGGGTGTAACCGTGCAAAGCTAATATTTCTCATTCTTTTGTGGGATCAATATAATCATCATCATCTCATAGATGAGTTCTCTACCGCCCTTCCCAGGTTTCTTTCAGCCCCTTTGGGCCCTATTTTACAGCAGATCCAGCTTCAAAATGAAGCTGGACTTCATCGGTAGGATTAGACAAGGAGAGAGGTTGAAGGGGTTCATGTCGGTCATGAATTGGCTCTCTGTCTTGTTTTTTTTCGTGTGTGTATCATAGTTGAGGTTTTTTTTTTTT